GTGTAATTTGGCTACCTACAAATCAATTTCCTGCTGTGCTACTCTGTATTTAAACTTGACATTTCGTCGAAAAGATTTATTTTTTGGATTTTCTGATTACGTGAGTTAAACGTTTCTACCAGCAGATTTTAGTAAAAAATAGTGTTTTCAGTTAGCCGATCGCTCTTTATATGGATTAATCGATTAATGAAGGATAATAATATTAGTAATCCCGCCCATAAATAATTGGCATTCAAATTTGTCGAAAAATGTATACTGTGGTGGTGACAATACGTATAGAAGAATTTGAATGTACCTTTTTTTAAAATAAGTTTCCCTTCCATATTCATTGGCATATCAACAGTAAGCGTGACAGCCGTAGCCAATGTGAACTGCTCAGCTTAGACTCCCTTTTTAGAATGCGAAAAAGGGAGTAAATGGTTCTCTGCCTGGCCCCGATCTAAATAGATTCATAGACACATCGTCTAACTAAAATCACTACTACATAGACTACCAACATAATTTTATGAGACGTGTCGACTTAAACTAATTTTCATATGAAGTTTTAAATATAATGAAGCTAATGCATATTTTATTATACTCTATCAATAAAATACGGAAGCAAATAAATAATTGCATACATACCAACAAACGATATTTCAGTGATGATATATTGGGCGTATATTAGAGAAACATGATATGTGTGGGCCCACTTTTATCTTGTAAAGTGATTTTTATTGAAACTACTTTTTCTTGACATACGGCAGGGATATATTTACAGACTAGTTACACATTTCCCTATAAATGCACATGCATTTAAGCTTGTGCGCGCACATATTTACTTAATTTTACTTATTTTTTAGACATTTCGCACGAATCATTTGCTGAGGTGTTTTTTAAACTGCGATTTACTTACACTAGCAGTCGGTGGAAAACGAGGCAATAATTCAAAATGGATTGTGGTGGTGAATTAAGTTTTTACCTGGCATTTAACAATCTGGACAGGAACAGCAACGCGCCAATGGACGACGAATTGTCCCTATCAATGGCAATACATCGAAGTATAGCCGAGAAACGAAGAGACATTACGCAACTTTGTAAAACCTGATTGTAATAGTTTGCCATCGGCCGAGCTTGCAAGCTTCTTTGTTATCGCCATTTAGCCATGAGTGGTAATTAAACAACTCGCCAATTCCAGTCGATTCCATCAAAACAAACAATGCACTCGATAAATCCTATTAACCGAATGTAAAGAGTCCATAGACACACGATTGCTTGCCGTTCCTGTACAAAAACCACAACATTAAAAATCACATCGTTGATTCAATGGCTTGAACGGTGCAGGCATTGTATACATACATACATATGGCAATACAACATGTGTGTTTCTATTTAAAAAATAATAATAAACTCACATATAAATATTGTATTATGCAGCGCGAGTTTGTTTTTGCAAACTTATTAATTAATTATGGTCAGTGGGTGACAAACGGTGGAGACGTGTGGAGAGGAGAAATTGTTTGTGTTAGTAAAATGGATAATAAGCTGATTTATACGATCAATTAATTAACTGTATATATTGCCTAAAGTAGTTGTGTATCGAACATAAAAACGAAAACATATAAAATTTGTGTATACACACATACACACCAAATGTCTCCACTAAAAATTATAAATATTAGTCCACTTTTTCTGGTAGCCCCCATTTTGGTTATTTTGGGGTTCTTAAACGTGTTCTTTAACCGAATTCGATGAAATTTGGTACCAAACTCCCAATAATGGTCCGATTGGGACAACATTTTGTAGTACTGAATAAGGTCCAGATACATCAAGTATGCGAAGTGTTGTTGGAATCGGTTCATATTTAGATATAGCTCCCCAATATAGTTTCGTCCGATTTTATATAAATGAAGCACCATACTGTCAATGCTTTCCGATTGAGACAAAATTTAGCATAGCGTATTGAAGTTACTGCAGATAGACATCCGTGAAGTGTTGTTGAAATGGGTTCAGATTTAAATATAGCTCCCATATATATTTTCTATGTTTGTTCTATATTCACGAAATTTAGCAGCTGGTATGGAATTTAGTATAGAATGATTTTAATTAAGTTTGAAATCGGTTCAGATTTAAATGGTGTACCATAGACCATGTTCTATGTGCACATATTTTGTTCTTGATGCAGATATAGCTCCCTCATATATTTGGAGGTGCCTAAGTCTGCTCGCTTTACATGAAATATTGCACGGTGTATTGGATTGAAGACGTTTCAGGTTTAGATGTTGTACCAAATAACCAAGGATTTTATACACATTCTCCACTCAAAAAATGAGGTCTATGTTTTGGGGTTTTAAGATTTTATGAAAAATCACCATTAAAATTTGCTGACATTATGGTTTAAAAGATCGTTTGATAGAATTGTCGTTATATGTCCACATTTTGATATGTTCCCTATATTTTCATTTCACGTACCTATCAGTATACCCATGTTGGAGGGTATCCAAAGTTCGGCCAGGCTGAACTTATCGCCTTTTTCACTTGTTTAATATTAAAGACACATGTCCACCTAATAATTAATTCATATCTATATCATCTAAATACCACGAAAAATCAAACGATATCAAAATCACACACTATATATCAAATCACTCAGATTCCTGATTGCACATTGAATCTAGAAGAAAAAATCAAAATACACTGAAAAAAGTGATTTAATAGATCTAATCATATGTTCCATTCCAAGATGCTTTTTCTCAAATTCTACCGTAAATTAATTTGGAAATTCCACCAATAAGGCATTTTATAAGTATGTTCTTTATATTTTAATAAGGTCACTATGGGGTTTGTTATCCTAATACTATCAGTATTTGAAATTGCACAGACTTGTAGATGAAAATTGTTAGTTTTGGCATTTGTATGAGACAACCCGTGTCTGTTAACTCTACACATGTTCTTTTCTGGTGTTTATTATTTTCACATACACCATAGGAGAAATACTTGTGTTGTGATAACATCACCGAATTCAGGTAGACAGCAGCAACGCCCAGACGATTACCGATGGAATATGGCTGGAAATGGAAAATTGCATAAAGTGTCAGTTTATGTTACAACAACTGTCAATATCTTCAAATGTGCATTGTGTAGCGATGTGTGCAAACGCATGAATGGGTGTGTATGCTCTGAACAAGTTCCGGGGCGTTTTTCAATATGTCAAAATTTGTCTGCATCATTATATTGTAGATATTCGTTGTTGAATATGCGTGTGTACGCATTTTCAGAAGCTGATATGCGTTTTCCATTTCATCAAAGGAAATGACCTTCAAACATAGAGTTCGCTTTGTATTTGATATAGCGAATGCTCAAACTTAGATATTGGATACATATCAAGCTTGTACCTCGCCATACCTCTCACCTTTGCAGACGGAAACATTAACTCCTGCTGCACAATTATTGCAGAAGTTGCTGGACTTGTTGGTCGTATTGTTGTTCATTATAAAGTTAATCGAGCTTCAAAAGCGCCTGCGTACTTAGTAAAATCTACAATGCAGACTACGGATTTTCAAATAGCACGTGTTCACTTGCCTCAAAGGCATCATTCAACTAACAATTCTAAACGCAACATGTACTAGCATGCCTGTTCGTATCCTTATGACACGGTATCACGTGGAGGGGAAATACTCACACATGTTGTATATACCAATGCTATTTCAACTACAACTGCCAAAGATGCAGGGTTACCGATGTGCGAATAAAGTGGCATTTTGCGACTCTACCTGCAACTATTAAGCATTGGAATGTTGTGTTTTTCGTTTTTAGCGTTGTAGTATATACCCAACGGTGTAGAGAAAGACACTTTTTTTGCAAATCAGAACACAAGATTTTATGTCTTTCGGCACTCTGTGGCTTTCGTTTGGTCCGGTGTTATAACAATGGACGATATTACTTTATTATTTCATTCGGAAGCAATTGGAAGACATTTATTTAGAAAGCTTTTCTGAGCGATTTTTTTTAAAAGAAAACTACTTTTTGTCCAACTTTTTGAAAATTCCCAGCGTTAATACTGCTAAAATGTGGCAATTCAAATCGACTATATTCTGCTGCCATGTTGTGCACGCAGTAAATTCGACGTCTTCGTAGCACATCTGTTATTGGTGCGGGAGTTTGCTCTTGTGTTGTAAGCAACTCTGTTTAAATTGTGTCGGTTCAAACTCGCTTAAACCACAGTGAGTTCGAACTAAAAGTGCCTTTGATTGTTGGTTCGTTCGAAACATGTTCGATGAGTTCTATGCTAACCAGTGTTGCCGTAATATGTTTGTTGTGAATATGTAGGTAATGTTAAAGAGTTATTCGCCATCATAACGCTATCGTATCAACATGAACATACCAAAGGTGGGAATGAGAATAGGAACGATTTTGTTCAATCACACTTACTTAATATGCCTTCAGTTCAGTGGCTCATATTTAAATTAAAATTTTATTAAAAATGACTATTAAGTATATTTGATTATGTGACCCGCACATTACAAATCCATTCAACATGGCCAAAAACAGCTGAATTTTCATACAACTTCTTTTAATAGCTCTTACAGTTTGATAGTGTGTGCAACGAATTGTTGTTTAACACACAATGTTAAACTATCCTCGACTCCATCGAACCTCTGTTAAACATATTTGTATTAGTTGTATGTTGGACCAGACAAGCAGAGAGGCAATCGAGTTGATGAGAGTTAGTATCAGTGAAATCCTCAAGCGAGAAGGTTGTGCGCGGATTGTTGGGTGGTTAATCACGAGGAAAGAACCTGTAATCGAATCGCTATCGAAATACAAAATTAACATTTATCAATGTTCGTAAATCAAAGCAATTTCTAATTAAACATATCAGCTACAATAAAATCAGACCAAGTTATAACACACCAATTAGAATAATCCCCTAAACCATTGTGATATTTGATATTCGGTGAACATAAATAGAAAAAATATAGCAATAATAAAGTTCAAAGAGTGCAAATAAAATTAAAAAAATGTATGCAGAAATTGTACAATTACAATGTCTCGTCGCCATCAGTATATTCGGATTTATATCAGCTCAAGACGTGGGTGCTAAAGATCTGTTTAGATGTCGTCAAAGCTGCTATCAAAAGGTAGGATTTTTGTATCATGTCTGCTGCATGCACCGACAATGTAAGACACATCAGCTCTGGAACAATGACACACGGCTACAAGGATTAAATCGACCACAGTCTCTGAAGATAGTTAAATAAACTATGGATATTCATAAGCGCGAAACGACAAACGGTCACATGCACTTAGTCCCATCTTACATGGGATGTTGTGCTGCACACGGGCCTTTGCATATGTACCATGTGTATGTCAAATCAGATTACGATCTGCACGTGACTTTGGCCACTTTTCGGGCCATCACAAGCTGCGAAACTAAATCCCAGGGCAGATAAGTAGAACGCTCATCATTGTGTTCACTAAGCGAAATCGATGGATTTCATTTTATGACATCGTTTCGTGCTTTGTACAGCGTTGAACAACAGAACACTGCCGTCGCTAAATGGCACGGAGCCATTTGCCAAAAACGAAAGCAATAAAATATGGATAAACCTTTTCTTTTTGCAAATGCAAAACGTTGCAGCTTGGAAGACTTTTTTGCAAAATCATTATGTGCGCAGTATTCCATTGAAAAAAAAAAAAACAAAAACAAATTTCATTGACAGCACACAAGTCTTCCTTTCAGTCGCAAATGGTTGGTCCCAGCCGAGAACTATCTTGGAATTGTATTAGTTAGAAATTCCTATTCCACTTTTCAAGTGAAAACCTGGGTCTGAAGCGTACTTGGGAATTTTCGTGTAGTACATCAAGTGCTGTCATGTGCTATTCGAAAGTATCTAAACGCACAGCCATTGAATAAGCGTGGGGTTTTCTAGCGACCTGCATACATTCTTCGAAAAAATGATTGTTCTGTGCCATAATAGACTACCACCGACCATAATGAAACCGTTCCGCACTACGCAAATTGCCATTTCCATTTGCAGGACAGGTTTTGTTGGTCGACAGAACGAGATTTGCTTTAAGCCTGTTGGTAGGCAAACATAGTACGAACGACCGGTTCCGACTCGTTGGACGCCTGGATGATGGCAAAACCAACAGCACGAATTTAATTTTCCTCTCCGCTGGTGATCACTTTCTGTTTGACTAGGCTACCCGTACCAATGCATTGCAATGCCGTCCCAGTCTACGTCGAAAATTGAAATATGCAATTTTAAATTGATTTGTCGGCATAGTAAGAATGGAGTAGACTCCAAATTGAAAAGCTATAATGCCGTGTTGCACGTGTGTGCGTGTATATGTTCACGTCGGTGCGATTGGCGATACGATCTGATTTTAATTAAAAACAAATCACTCGACATTGATGGACAGCAGCTGTGTACCACATCTGTCGCGATGTCTTCTGAGGAAAATGGCAATCTAACTATTTATGGCCTTCTCCGTTGAAAGTCCCAAAGGTCAGTTAGAGCAAGGAATGAATGTTCAAATACACTTATAATTTGTTTTTTATTTCTCTAAATTTGGTAAGCGATCAAATTGTGAGTGATGTTGTAGGTTGTTTCATTTGTGGCAGCTAATTAGCGGCCATAAATTTTGCGGTCATAAATTATTCCCCATGCCGTGAGAGTTGTGAGAATGTCTCACAAACATTCGACCTCTAACTGTTAGTTGCACAATTTCAGAATGTTTTGTGGCAGCCAGCAATACCATGTTTACTGGAGAGGCGAAGTATGTTTACCCAAACAGATCGTTCGCTGTACATGTCCCGATGCGATAAACGTGAACTAGTTGGGTATTATCGCTCTTACATTTAAACGAACACCTAAGCAAATATTGTAAAGCTTTAATTAATAATACCCGTATTTGTTTTGTGTTAGCCCTAATAACCATTATCGGGTTATGTGGCTGTCTTGTATGACTGCTGATGTTGGAACACCAACCCATCCGTCCATGCAATCAGCCAGGCCACATCGTATATAGGCTATACACATGGTAGTTTATCATAATAATAATTAGAAGTCGCTCTGCAGTAGGAGAGTAGCATAGATATGCGAGTCTACGGTTTTCCGAATTGATATTTTGTGTCGATTGGACGACGATAATCGATATACAATAATACGTCTTACATTCATTTCCCCTGGCATACGTACTCATGTAATGCGTGCTCTAATCGTACGTTTTGTATCAAGCGCATCCAAATAATTGTATTTTGTTTTTATTTTTTATATGTTTGTCATGTACGTGGTCAGAATTGTAATGAAGCAATATCTAAATAAGCGAAGACATGGCTCGTCGTAGACTTTTTAATAACGATTTTGAAGAGTGTATATCAACATCGGCTAGAAAGCAAATATGATTTTTAGTTAGGGCAACGCACAACCACTCTCCCATTTCATATACATATCGGCATCTATGTCCACACACGTACCACCCTCTGCTGCCGAACTGCCGCCTATTTCGGCAATTCGACCAGTAAGTTTTAACGGCAACTAAGGAAATTGTGAAATACTACATTTTGTTGACACTTGGCAAAAACGTGCATTTTCTGTAAAATGCATCCGTTTACTAAAGTGAGATTAACTGGAATTGGGCGTTGATGGCGATGTTTTCTACGACCTGCTTGCATTACTTTTAACATTAGAATTCTCCTCTCCTGGGAATGGAGATAGTTGCATTTCCAAGAAAAATATTAAAAAACGCTGCAAAAAGTCGCAGCATTAACAAATCGAAGTATTGCAACGGTGGAGTACGCACACACAGTTGTACAATGTACTTGTATGTATGTCACAGGCAACATGCATACATACGAATATTCCTGCCGCTGTGTTGACAGCAACCCCTAAACAACATTCAAAATCATTCAAACAATCTTGGACAGCTTTAAATCTTCTGTCACGGTATTTCTTTGAAATTAAGAGATTTGAGTTTTGCATAACTAATGACATTCATTGTGCACATCGGTTGGCACTGAAAAGGGTTGATGGCCCGACATCGAAGATCGAATAATTTTCGACGGCAGAGCAAATACGGGTTGATTCGGTTTGAAGACGTATGGATTAAAGTCCGGTGAACATGACATGGATATTTGGCATAAAAACAGCTAAGAACACAATATCGACTTTTAAAGGGCGTGTGTCGGAAATGTTTACGTATTAAACATTCTGGCTCGCCAGGAGAATGTTTGAAGAAGGAACAAAACCTACAAAGGGAAAAATACGTGTAAATCGCTTACGTATATACCATTCTAAGTAAAAATGCAAAGAAACGCCGACGGACAAATGTAGCTAAGTTACATAGCTTCCAACGATGGTTTTGCACAAATAAAATCCGTAAAATTGGTACTAATATATTACGACAATAATTACAGTAGACGGCTAGTACCGTACAGTAAGCAATATCACTCACTGTACAGCTTCTTTTTTTCTTCCACACACATTTTTGGCCTTCCTAATTAGTTTGGCCCTTGCCGTTCATAACCCAACGGTATGTCTTTCAATATATACGCAAACTGGGCTGCCAACGAACGACCAACAGCCAAAAGAAAAATTGAAACATTACGACTTATCAAGTCATTAATTACAAAGCCATATTTTAAAATAATAACGACAACAACGCCAAAACGACAGATACAAAACAATTTACCCTTGTAAATGATAAAAATAAAATAACAACGAGACTACTTTAAATGAGTGGCATGGCATGGCAAATGATTAATTTTCTGCGCAAAAGGCAATTTCAGCATTTCGCTCCAGGGATATTTCGTTTCCACAAAACAAAACGTAGCAAGGCATTAAAAACAAACAAACAGCAACAGCAAAAACGAAGACGAGACGGGCAACCCAAAAGCCTTCGATTAGGAGTGAATGCTGACAGCGGTGCTGGGTACAGATGTCATTGTGCGCAAAATTTAGGGATGATGATGACGGTTGATATCTACCAAAGAATGGAAAAGAGCATTTTCATGAATGAACCATTGTTATGCCACAGAAAGAGGCTACATTGCACGGCACCTTTGAAACTGACTCAGTTAGGGTCGATATGAGCGCGATCAAGCGTCGGTTGACAATTCCTAAAAACTCCATTGATGTGCTGAGAACACTCGGCAAACGGACGGCTGTCCTTTTGTTTTTGTTTACAATGAAATAATGACAAAACGTGCTTTGTTTGTTTGTTGCCTATTCACTGGATTTTTGCTTCCCTTTTCGGTTGCGTTGCGTTCGACCCAACCAATGACCTATGTGTGATTGGGCTAAATTGGTTATGGAAACCTACGCCGTTACCCTGCGGAAATAACGGCAATAAATTAACAACGCAGCCAGTAATCCTGGGAAGAAACCAGTAATAATAGCTTGCTGCGTCATTCATCGATGTGGGGGATCAATGCGGTAGGTCGTCCTGTAGATCGTGTCGTATCTTCCTAATCATTTGGCTAATAGTTACAGACATTGTTTAATTTATTCCGGGAATCATACTTTCGTTGGAAAATATTCTATCAATGTCAGTCGAGGGAGAGCGTGGTATTGATCAAATAATCAAATGTTGCATCACGTCTTAGTCAAATGTAATCGAATATTAGGGATCCAGGCAAAAAGCAAATTGACACATACACCATTTAGAGCGTGTAGGCCCATCAAGATGAAGTGAAGCGATAACTTATGAAAATGTTTGCTCTCGACCAATTAAGTGGCTATGGAATTAGTAGTCCTCATTAACATATAGCATCTAACGAATATAAATAAAAATATTATTCTTTTGTCTATATTGACACTTGGCGGGGGCTTCTCAAGCAGCAGAATGAGGCATGGGTACCGAAAATAGACGTATTTCGTTAATAATTCCAAAAACCAAATGTGTCGAGTTGTTCCCATTCCAATCTCCGCCATTGAATGTGTCCGTGTGAATGGAATTTTTGTAAAAATAGCTATATTCACGTCGCTGATAATGGTGAGGGTGGTGGGTGGTCGTTGTGCCTCCCATGTTTCACATCAGCTGGCAGAAGATTTAGCAGCTGGTGTCAGTCTATCTTATCGGTTGATGTAGTATATTGAAGCGAGTCGAAAAGGTTACGACAACATGATTTATTTGGCATTTGTTTTTCCTCTCGTTTCAGTTTGTTCAAGATTGGCATCACTGCATGGATTTTGAGGACTGTAAAAGTGTAAGTATATGCCCGCAATTACATAATAAACAGTGTTACATATATGTATTTGTCACACACGCACCTTCAAAAATAATATACAAAAGCAAGTAGCCCACTTCCTTACAACACCCTTATCGGACAACTGGGACAGCATGATGTCCAAATTCCGACGTAAATTACTTTGACTCATTTTCAATGTGTCCTCTGTTGAAAATGACGTTGTTGACTTCGCAAACCTCATATTTAAAAAATCTAGTTTAACATGAGCCTAAGTTTGATATATAGTTTAATAAGTGCCTAAGTTTGGCAATGCTGCAAAGGATAACGTGAAAATAAATGTAGGTCAATTGAAAATTTATCGATGAAATCCAACAAAACAAACTGTGCCTTACTGCCGGTCACGAGCTATGCAAAGGACGAATGTATAAACTGAGTCACATTCGGTGAAATGGCATGGAAATGCAGCAGTAGAATACAGGAAAGACTTCTGCTGGCACAAACAAAGGGAAGCTATAAAATACCTTTAAAGGAATTGCTCGGCGTACGCTTTTTGTTGAATTTGTAATTGTTTGCCGCGGTTATAAAATCATAACGCTACATGACTCTGGCTCCAGGACTCATTTAAAGAACAATAAACTCAAGATTTGGGGGTTTCTTATCTTTTAAGATAGACATATACCTTTGTCAATAAACCTTCTTTGTTGCAAAAAAACGATAATTCGACCAAATCAAGGGCAATATTCAATCGTAGATTTGTGGCCGAACCTTTGGTATATTTTTATGAAAACGCCAGCAAAATAAACCATTTTCTTTTACCTTTGGCCTGTACGCACCACTTTTACAAAGTAAATTGATCAAATAATTGGGAGCGTATTTGAAGATAGCTGGATTTACAACTCAGTCGGATAGCTCGTCACATAGTGTAAATATTTACGTTAATTTTCCTAAAACTATACCGCGCCTCACCCGCCTTGGTCGCAAATTACGAACGCACCAGACTCTGTGACGGGAATTTTTAATCAGTTAGCATTTCCAACGAACATTTTCAGACGTCGGAGTATTTACACAAGGCATCGTTGTTTTTAATAAACTCACATTCATATCTAAGGCACCCCAGCTCAAGTACGCATTTCACATGGGTGGTGCAAAACAAAAATCAGTTTTATTATCAGCTCTGCTGACAGACTGATTGGTAGATTGGTGTACGTGTGTCAATATTTGCTTTCGATAGTTCAGCTAGTGCTTCCAACACCCCTTGGGAAGCAATAAATTCATAGCAGATCCATTATCACAGATAGAGGAACATTAAAGAAGGAATATAAACAAAAAATTAACCAACAATTACAAGCGAACACCAAAAAATAGCTCATATTCTCGCTGTGCTGCACTAGGGCCCTTTGCGTTTTCATTTTATTATTTCCAAACTATTTCATTTTGGTCCTGCTGATGGATTTCTCATTTATGTTGATGTTTGTTTGGTTGGTTGTTTTGTAAACAAATTTGTCACAAGCTGAGACGATCCGATGATTACATCTTCCGCTGGGTTCTTGGAAGAATCTCATTACAGAGCACTTATTACATTCAAGTGCATCACGGATCAGATCACCCTCTCTCCGTTTAGAAAAGCGTGGGGAAGCACAGAACTGCTTCTTTACACAACATACAATTAAAAAAAAAAACAATTTCACATACAAATGTACTATACGTCCATATGTTTGCAAGATGTATGTGGGCTATAAGGTTAGAATGCCAAGAAATTCGTCTGTAGGCTTCGAACAGACGTTTGGATCAGGATACGAAAGAATAATCAATAATGAATGAGCAATAGGATGCCGTCTGGTCCCAAGCACTTACAAATGAGTTTGTAGATGTGGTGTGCTCAACATTATTTTATATTGCCATACCATGTGTTGCCGACCCACAGATACAATTGCGTTGACGTGTAAAACGACGCCTTACACCCATTACATTTTCGGTCGACATCAATTTGTAGTCCAACAACGTAATTATCATACGCTCGGAAAATATGTAGCTCGAATTACAAACTGACAAATTGCATGACACAATTGTAGTGTTGGACCTGTAGAGATTTGTGGACAGAAGCGCATTGAATGCCCTACCTGTACAAAGCTGGGTCATCTGAAACCATACTCGTTGCTGACAACGTATCCCATTTATGATTAGGCGAGGGAGGCACCAAGTGACTGCCTGTCTGTGGAATGGACATATTTGTTCTCTATTGAACAAATGCTTGGTACTGAACATATTCAATTGCCACCCCAAATAGCCAAAGAAATTGTAATAATAATCCAATATAAAGAGAATCGCATGTGGTATCGTTATTGATTGTGTCGATGTAAGTTATTAGGATTTTAACTCTGATTTTTGCTTCAATCTTATCAATAGTTTCGTAGGGAATATTTTAGGAAGGGCATGTTCTAAGCATTCACAGCCGTTTATGACATTCCTGGTGTCCGTAACCTTTTTATCTCCTTCGGAATAAATCCTTGATCGTTAATTTACAATTTGTGTTTGTAAATTCCCAATAAGCCGATAGACACTTATTTCCCTAATTGCACTCTTACTAAACCCCAAATCCTGCACATGGTCCCATCCCACTTCATTCATTATGCATGTTAATTATTACAAAACACGATCAGATCCCCACCTACTTTACATAATTTATTGCTACTAACCCTTTCGATAGTCGGCGAACCACTAGGCACATTTTCCATCAGTCGTCTACAGTGCCAGACCATACTGCATGTTCATGCGGTCGTTACATTTGGTAGCGATTCAAGACATTGTCGAATTTACAAGGCTGATGATATTTCTTTTTTATTTCTGCTATTGATCGCAGAGAACCAAGACGAACACTCTGAAATATGTGCTAACGAGCGGTACCGACTGTCAAATTAAATATGAGATTTGTCGTCTGCCTTTCCGAACCAGACAAGATGTTTGCCAATGATTTTATCACCGCAGTTGTCGGACGGTGTTACGTAGAATGACTCTTTTGTCAAATCGATGTTTGATGTTGTTATTGGTGTTAGAGATATTAAGTTTGTATGTTTCAATGGATTATTTCTATTTGTCTCTCTCTCTGTGTGTGTGTGTTTTCGTAGAGCATAATTAAAACAAATTAAGTATTTTTTCATTTGTATATGTGGCACCAACCGATTATGTTTATTTTCATAAATTGTCGTTGAATCTCCCCTCCCAACCAGTCTTATGGCACTATCCAACACCCCAATTGTATGTGTATGTATTTCCGTAAATGTTGTATTAAATTGCCCACCTCTATTAAGTCAATAGAATTTTCATTTTGGAGAAACTACTAAATCAGAAAATTCATTCTTCTTTTTTACGTTACAGATGTGCATCACACCACCAAATATCAATAGTTATATCCCAGAAGCATTCAGTTTTCTGGTGAGTGTCAATTTAAGAGTATTCCAAACCAGTAGTGCTTGCTAAGTTCACTAAATGTGCTTATATGGATCAATTTTTCGTTTCGTCTAACGTCCTGAGTTGTTTGTAAATTATTTTTAAGAACCAAAGATGTGACCCCAAATGTTAACAACTTTGTCTGTCAACTGTTTCACAAATTTTGAAATAACGGCAAGAAAAAAGCGACATCGCAATTATATTATCTAGATTCTGCCCAATTCCTTAAAAGTCAATGAAGTTTTACTCGTGCTACCAACGAGTAAAACTTCAAACAGATGGTGTCCTAATCAACCGAAAAAACAAGGGCGTATTGGAGTATTGTTACTGGATAAAGCAACCCAAAAGCAAGGACAAGCAATGGTAGCTGTTCGCATATTTGAACAGCATTGTGTATGTATGAGAACTTCATAGCAATTGGAAATGCTGATCCAAAAATGGATAGAGGGTGGGGTGGTAGCGGTAAATAGAGTAAGCTATAGGATAGGTTATTCCATTTTTGCTTTTATGTCTGATCGAGTTTTTGGTGATTTTCCAAATTATGCGCATTTTCAATGGTGACATCTCCATCCAACAGAGCTCCAAAGCTACTGGCACTGGCAACATTTCGGCCAACAACCACCAGCTGCATGCATATTTATGAAGGGAACAACACACTCTACCGACTCAAAAGAAGGTATAATAACAAAACATTCAAAATTAATGTAGATATTCACACAAAATACTGAGATGTTACTGAAGGTAGCTATCGTGATTGGAACAGCACTTGTTGGGTGCCATAACGAAGTCTTACTGAAGGGGAGAAACGAAACGCTTTTAGGTTAACTTGTAAATCCTCGTATTGACGCTAATACTTATGTGCCTGGCATTCTTGTTTTCTTTCTATTTCTAGTGTTGGAACAAATGCGATCAACAATTGGGACCCTTTCCTCTCAATATTAACTCTGCGCTGCGCCAAGGCTCGCTGGTTATTACTGACATTGCCTGGGATCAAGCCATCACGAATGCGTCAAAGCAGTGCTTGGTTACTTGGGAGGTCTCCGGAGGCGGTCTAATGGGCAACCTATTGACGGATTCCTCCACTGTTGAATTATCCCTCTGGTCAGATACGGTCTATCACGTACAAGTTACGTGCAAGCATAAGGTAAGTCAACTTCAGCATAAAATCCGTTTGCACAAACAGACAAACACGAGTGCGTTGCAGTCGTCGTAGATAGACTGAAATATTAGCTGGCGTCGACGATGCCGATGTGGATTTTGCAAATCCCCAGTAAGCGTCATTTTGAGCTTTATAATCAGGTTTCGCTGATGACAGCTCCGTTAGTGAATAATTCACTGCCTAGCATTAATATTCCGATGCACCTTAAAATACACAGATGGCCACAATCTAGCTATTGTTTTCAGTGCAACTACGCTCAACCATGGCCACTGTTGAAAGTTTTTCCAAGCCTTTTAGAAGCGTTTTTTTATTGTGGTGGTTTCAGTAATGGGCTAATAACATCAATGTTCCTTTGTTTGAAATTTTGTTAACATTAAACAAATTTGAACAGTTTTTTAGAAAACGAACATGAATGATGATCGTATTCTGCCAAAGTGCCAAATTATTTTTTCTTTGTCATTTGATTCCAAATTGCATGACATCATGCAACCATCTGAGGCATATATGCTTCTTACTACTGGCACAACTCGGCAATTGTTAACTGGCTTCAATACGACACTGCCGAGTTGTATCGATGCTCGGCTTATGTGTGCACTTGACAAAAACACGCGATCAGTTACTCAAGTTGTTGTATGTTGCAGGTGTCTCTCACTGGCCCGCCCATATGGTACTAGAATAATCAGTTTTCAATGACAATGTTAATTGATGTGTTGACCAATGTAGCTTTGATTTACGATATTGTCAGCACCATGATGATACTCATTCACGTGTATTTTTTCTCTTCTCGTTTTAGGAAACCGGTGGTATGCGTCGCTCATTTAAATTGATCGTCGATACCCACAAATTGGGCGATAGTTCCGCCACAAGTGTGCAGGCCATCACAATGGACAGTTCGTTTAGTAATCAACTTTTGACATCGGGGTACGGTGCTGAAAATATCCCCTCATCTCCCAGTGAGGCGGAGTCAAGGCTTCGTATTCTAAAGGATAGCTCCCAGGACTTCTTGGCTCCCTACAACCCAAATAAACCCTCAATAACCAAAACATCAAAGAACTCTAATGAAGAAACTGCGCATGGAGATCGTGTGGAGAGTGGAACTAAATACCAGGATAGTGTGCTGCGCACCAAATTAGTTGGTGCTTCCGCGAGTGTCGACTCAATGAGCTTTGCGCAAATCTCTGTTATCGTTGCCCTAATGGGATCTTCCATTCTGTTTGTAACGGTCGTAATAATTTATCTGATAATGCGTCCGGCCCGGAAGCATGTACCTGCCGTTATAACGCCCAATGATAAACAGATTCTAATAAACACGGATATCCGTCCATCGCAAAGAATAACTGTGCCAGCACCAGTTCACCGCCATACATCCGACGCTCTGGCGTCAGCTTCGATGACGCCCGCCGACCAGAGTCCAGCTCTGCATGTATAAACGTAGCTCGGTATCCACATAGTGATCTGTAAATATATGTATATATGGAAATTCCGCGTGTAAATAAAACCCCTTAAAGTCCAGTGTAAATATACACATGCTTCCCTTACGTTGATGACGCGATAAGCGTAATGCTCAAAATGACTGGCAACTCAAAATATTCGTGTTACCTGACAGCGGCTGCTTCGACGCGATTACTTATAGCTTTTGTTGATTTATTTTAAGCATCGCCTTCGTCAAATTCAGGATAGGTTCTAGACTCGCCCAAACTAGGATGAAGTCGGGCCTGTGTGTGTAACTAGATAATAAGACTTCTAGTCCATTTGGTGTGAATGTGTTCAAGTACGAGAGTCTGCATGGCTGAGAGCGTGACTGCAAATTTATTATTTTTAATTTTATATGTACTATGACCTTAATAGATTAGTATTGGTCGAGAATTGCCGAAGTTACTTCCTGCTTTATGTAAAATCCGTCTTGCGTTTGCTAACAATTTATGTCGATAGTCCTCATGTAAATCAAAACATCTTCCAGATAGATCGAGAAATTCGAAATTCACGTCAACTAAAGTAATTATCAGTCGTTATTGTAAATACTTCCATGGATAAAAATTTCCGATTGCTACAATTCCACAAGCTTAACAAATTAGTGCGTAAGGCAACATGCGATAAAAAGGAAACGGTAGTTATATTCAACGAAATGTCTGCATGTGTTCTGAGAGCGTCAAACAATCATCCCCTTTTTTGACGCTCGCAATTCGTACTTTTTCTTATGGCAGAAAACCACACATATTTCTCAATATACCCACCATGGTTGGTTTCATTGTTTTTTTTTTTTATTATTATTAGTTACAGATTTATTGTTATGAAATTGGATTCACTGCCAGCAAGTTGCTTTCGGTATTGTTTTGTGTATTACCAGCATAAAACCAAGAAAATTCAAAGGTTTGTGTGCCTCCAATTTTGATTTTTAATAAAGGTTATTTTAATAAATATCAGATTATAATTGTATGTCATATCAAGAAGCCTTTGTAATGCACTACAAAAATACGAAATATTGAAAACTTGACAATCGTTCTTCACAAATATTATGCTGGGATGTGCTAATTACATGACCACCACTGTAGGTGTTTTCTAAGACTGACTCCTCATTCCTAACGTTATTCTCGCGACATTTAGATAAATTGCCAAACGCGGTTTCAGTTTTACCTTCACAGCTGACGCTGAAAAGCTCGTGAAACTGGCCAAACGGATTAAAATAGAATTAATGAATCATACTTGTAAATCATGTCTCATCAATGAAAACAAATGTAATTATTAGTTATATCGTACCTAATCAAAATATATTTATAAGATAAATACGAAACTAATACTATTTAATATAAATAACAACAAATTAATAAAAAACTGAAAAATAATAATTGCGTTTTATTATAAAAAAGTGTACGGGGGAATGCAGAATGACACACATCAATTTTACGCAGAGCTTTGGGTCATAACTTGTAAGGTCAACAGCAAAAACATTTCACTCTATAACTCAAAAATTGTATATGCATATAAGTTTAATCAGTTAATTAAAATCGGTACAAAAAACTGCAGTATTATGTGAAAATACAGTTAAAATTTTTTGGCCCTCTCTAAATGTAATAAAAGTTCTTGGCATTCCATTGGCCCGATATATCAGAACCCCCGCATTATTCGGTATTTCGTCCCACCAAATTTGCTATAAGTTTGACTTTTGAATTCTTATTGGATAACAAATCTTCCTCTTTCTAAAGAATATCATAAGTAGATGGATATACTTGTATATTATTATATTCAGTGGGGTGTATAGATCCTTCATCAGTCCTCAGAAGATTAGTGTCGCCGCTGCCAATAAACATACACACATAAATATTATTTCGCAATGATTCGTTGGTTGCATCAGGAGAACCAGACCGACATTCCAATAGAAACAAGAGCATCGAATGAATGGAATAACACCTCGTCGTATACAGGATATGCTTTGATACCAGAAACGTAGGCAATCGCTACGCAAATGTGTGCGTCAGAATTGGACTATTATTTTACTACAATTTACATTTTTTGTGTTGTTTCGTGGCAGGTTTGAAAACAAAAAACTCCTATACACAGGCATCCAGTCTACCGTTAATGCCATTGTTAAGTGTACAAAAAATCATTTTGAAATATATTCTGCAAATTCAATGACGATGCGGATTCTGTCCGGCGACTCGGGCATTCATCATCTTTAGCCAGCACACAACGCCAATACGCCTGGTTTTTGTCGTGCATTTCAACACTAGCCCTTAAGGGATTTTCCAGGATTTTGCATTTGAATAAAGCGGCAAGCACATTTGAAACAGCGCAGACAAACGCTACAGATACAACAAATGGAATGGACCAAAAACGACATGCGACAAATATGAATGGCTTTTTCCCTGATATGGATAGAATTATAAAGTGGCATAAACTCTTGTGCAACCGCAACAACCTAAATCCTCTGAAATCCGTTGTTCACTTGTGCGCGTGTGTGTGCGGACTATGATAGGCACTGTTGCTCTGAACATTGTTGCAATTTTTATTATTGCTGTAGAAGAAAAAAACTTTATGAAAAATAAATAAATGGATGTAGAACAAAAACATTTCCTCCAATTTCGCACAAATGAAAAAATAACAACTCTGCCAAATCAAATGTCCGAAAGCGCATTCAGAAGGCCACACGCGTCCAATGGCATCCCATACCATACACCAACGACCCTCTGCCACAGAATAAAAACAAATATCCATCGTTTGTATATACCGCCTGTTGAAGCTTTGATAAGAGCAGCCAAATTAATGAGGTGGCCAAGCCCGAATCGATGCAGAAAATGTGTTAGTTTTTGTCGTGCATTTCAATATACACATATATTGAAATGTGAAAGGAAGCAAAATATGTTGCACATGTATTCTTTGCAACCAATGTACAGGTCTTATAGATCTGAATACACACATCTGAATATGTAATATATAGGGTGGCGTAGGGGATGATAGATACCAAGCAACGGCTATGATTGGCTTTAACATGGCGAAGTCCAGGCTTGTCTTGGTCCCTCTTTCATCTCAATTGTGGACACTGACCTCCCCGCGGTGCCACCTGCAGAGCTATTCTCAACACCCGATGAAATAAGAACTATAAAAAAATGGGTTGAGGCGTCGGGTTAGTTGCCCACTCTCGGAAAACCCAACCTACTATGAAGAAGCTAAGAAGAGACATGAAATGGCTCATGTCTTTCTGCATTTCACAGAGAAGAGAGAGATCCCTTTGGTTGAGTTGGAGCAGATCACAAACGCCTTTCTGGCTTTATTGCAATGCGTAAAACCCGGAAAAGGTTGCGTAAAATCTGTTCGTTCACTTCCTCTAAGCAATATTGCTCAGGGACCAAAAACAACATTTATTTTTGAAAATGCGAACAAAAAACTATTCATATTAGAGACACGGGACACCTATAGTGTTTTCTGCCAAAAATAAAACTCATTTGAGGAGTTTTATTTTTCCATCAAAAATAAAAATCATTTCTGGAGTTATTTTTTTGTAAGAAAATAAAACACTTTTTACGTAAATAAACTTATTCAAACTGTTATCAGTTATACATTTCCAATTTATTGTTTACAATAACTGGTACTAAACACTATATGTAAAGAGTTTTATGTATTCTCAAATAAAATTTTATTTTTGACGGAAAATATAGCAATCCCTAAAAGAGTTTTATTATTGAGGGAAAAAATAAAAATTCCTAACAGTTAAAAATCAACGTTTATATTTTCCATCAAAAAATAAATAATTAAAACGGATTTTTATATAGCTAATCAAAATATGATACCGGGATATGAGGTTCTGAAAAAGTCATAACCCTTATTTACATATGTCATCTCTTTATTTTTTCGTTGCATACTCTCACACACCATTAAGTAGTTCTCTTGTGAGGGACAATTCATTCCCGACTGATAAATTGACTAAATGTATAAACTTCACACAGCAACGGCCTTAGCATGAGTTCGGCAATGCGTCACTTTTGGAAAATGAATATAAATTTCGAAACGTTCCGATTCTGGAGATAAATTGCCGAGTTTGTTTGGATGTTGGCGGGAGAGGCAATCATTCTGAGGTCACTGTTTATTAACTCTAGCAAAGCAAAGCCGAACTCTAATATATTTATTATGCCACAAATGATAATAAATTACCTTCTTCCAAAGGTATGAAAACGACCATCAGATGAAACTATTTCTTCGATGAGACACATTTGATGGTCGTTCGTGAGTAGGGCCATTGTTCCTGCGCCTTCCCCGTCCTTCCCGTTTTACCAGGCAACTGAATGTGGCCCAGAATTGATGTGGATTTAAATTGAGATGATATATATTGCTGTCATTTTTTTAGAGCCAAGCTGGAGTAAATCTTACGTGTGCGATCCTTGTGAAATGTTTTTGTTGTTGTGATGTGTACTCGTATTTTATAATAAATGGCATCGTTTAAAACGTTGCCCTGTTGTACGCTGTACATGACAGTCGTTGTTTTTTCCCACTTGCTTCAGATTCACAACGTGTGTCGTTCATTTCCGCTGGTATTTTTCATAACTATGTCTCATGAATACAAGAATGTCTTAAATGTCCAAAAAGCAAAGAATATCTTGACGAAAAAATCTTAGCCATTATTGAGTGAGGCATGATATGCACAAATGCCCAACAAACCTTTACAATGATTCAAACGATTCACTACCAAAATTACTGCTTTATATAAGCTTCATCAATAGATATAACTTCGCACGACTTTAGAAAGCGTGAATAATTTTGTATGCTGGGTAACGCGAATTACAAGGTTGAAAAGTAAACAGAAGAAAGTCGTGTCTCCTTAATATATGCAACATTTCATGTTGCCAAAGGACTTCGGAATGATGGATAATAGCTAAATTGCCTTTTGCATTATTCGCCTTGAAATGAATGTGTGTACGTATGTATGTGGACGTGTAT